CTGGAAAATCTTAAAGTAGCAGAACATGGTTTTTACAGGTTTGCTGCTGGGATGAATCAAACAGTTGTGAGAGCACCTGCTCTTTCTCATCCAACTTGACCTCATTTGAGAAAAATGACAAGATCATGTACTTATTCAAGAATAACAGAAGTTTAAGTCCCTAATTCAGTTAATTGATTACACTGACTTTCTTGTTTATATAGTATCTTGTTGATACTATGCATGTACCCACTCTGTCCTAATAAATTGTTCGTTTGACCTTTTTAGATTTTATGCATACTTATATACAATATGATAAGAGATTCATGTTTTATATAACAGATTATCATTAAAATTATAGTTTAGATTATAATTTTTTTAATACTAATTTTTCAGTATTTAAATATCACATTAAATTCTAACTAGTTTGGAATGAAATTGCGTTAAGCTATATAAGGAAAAATTCTTTCAGCATTTATTTTTTCATTCGTAAGACTTAAATTTGAAATTTTATTTGATGGAATCAAATTTTTTTTAATCAATTTTTTTTTTACTCAAATCAACATATCGTTAGTTTAGATAATAAAATTATTAAATTACCATTAATAAAGTAATATAAGAAATAGTTTTATAAAAAATGTTTTAATAAATTTATAAGTTAAATTACATTTTTAATATGTATATGACTTTTTTTTTTTTGAACAAATTCGCAAAGAGTCAGATTTAAACTATTGTCTTGAGAAGAAGAATGCACTTATATATGACCGATGCCACTGAGTCGAAAGCCCAAGTACTGTGTGTCTATAACTTATAAAATACTGTCTTTCATATAATAATATACAAATTTCTATTTTTACAACTTATGGATTACAAGGACGATCCTTATTTCTCCTCCCTTAACAAAGTTGTCATGATATAAGAGATCCAGAGTACCCATATTCTCATTGGACCATCTGGGTGTTTTGTCTGAGGAATTAATCAAGGGTTTAGACTGATGAAAAGCGCGGCCATGTTTTGTTTGAAGTGATTATCATCCTCGGGAGTGCTTAAAAGCATGTTTCTCAAAATTATAATTAGCTATGAGGAAGAGGTCGACTCAATGGCATTAGAAGAGAGGAGGGTTATGAATTTTAGAATTTTTTGGAATTTGTTTGCTAATGTAGGAATCATATGCAGTATCTTGCTTCATTTACTTACATTTTAATGTTAGAATTTGTTAATTTTTTTATTATATATATATATAACTTATTTAGCACTTAACTTTATTTATGTGACAGAAACATGAAATAAACGCTCAATAATTTCAACAACGGTCAATGTGATTTTCTTAGTATACAAAATTGTTTTTTTTGAAGAAAAGACCCTAGCCTACCTGAGGTTTGTGTAGCTATTCTCCTTTTAAGTTTTCTTCTTTTTTTTTTTTTTT